CCAGAGTCAAGATGGACAAAGCAAGCTCGTACTTGAGGACGGCGCAGTAGTGCGACGTTGGCGTCTCCATGTCCGTGTCGCCAAAATGCTCGTACTGCGAGATGTAAAAGATGCCATTGTGCTGCTTGGCGCTCAAGAGGAACTGGTCGTTGTTCCAGAACATCCTACAAGGCGATGGCATGAGGCTACGACCGGCGACGACCGGCGACAGCATGTACTTGTATTGCGTCTTGTTGATGCGGTGCACCGTGCTGTACGTCCACGCCTTTGCCGACGTCGGGCTCAAGCTCTCTTCCGCAATGTACTCGCGCGCATTGCCGCTCTCGAGAAGGTCCATGTCCTGGAACTTGTCGCGCTTGATGGCCGTGCCCCACGATGGCGACGCCGACGCTTTGGCCTCGTCGCCGTCGTCCTTGATGAGCTTGGTCGCAATGAGCAGCGCGGCCTTGTCGAAGAAGCTCACGTCCGCGGCCGGCGGCGCCGCGTCGTTGTTGAGGTCCGTCGAGATCGTGAGCGAGCTGCGCGAGGCCATGCTTTCGGGATATGGCCTCGTCGGTCGTCGCCCGGAAGATCAAAATAGCCTGCCGTTGGCCAAAATCCAAATCTGTCGGCCAATCAAACTTCGCCGTTGCGATCTTTCCACTTGGCGGTTGCCGTTGACCGCCATGACAAGGAAAATGGCGGCGACGTGGGTTCGAAGTGGCGACCAGCGACTACAACAAGGGTGTTTATAAATTAATGTCTTTAAAAATCATAGAACCATCACACACCGTGCATGCCGTACTAGTAGGTCTTACATGGCCATTCGGCCTGTCCAAGCGGTTGACAAGGTGCGAGGGTTGGGGCTAAACCAGAGGGGCGGTCGGTGAAGGTAGCACAAAGCGGCAGAATGGTCTCTTGCGGTTGTTGCACTACGGGCGTCGACGATGCATATGCCCATTTACCTTCTGCGGGAATGCCTCGATCACTTCGCGATCTCGCTATGATGTTGCGCAAGTACAGAGAGCCTCGGGAGCGTGCGCTCGATGGACAAGTGGCTTCGCCTGGTCACGCGCACAGGAGAATCCTGAATCGTACTACTGTGAACGTCGCTGCAAGCGAACTGACACCATGCTATTATATAGATTGGCTTTGTTGAAAATACAACATTTTGTGTTCTATGTATCACAAGGCTTATTCGCCCCAGGCTAAGGCAAAGTGGTTCTGAACAAAAACC